TAGGTACACAAAAATACAATTTTGCTATGGTTGGTGAATGCATGTGAGAGAAGGAAAGAGAACATGACAGTCATGTGTTCAAGTGTTTGTCATGAGACTTACTTGATGGTGAGGGTGAGAGATGCAACAATGACCCCCAAGAGCCAGAGATGGAGGGAGAAAGACGCAGATGACCAGGGCCATCCAGAGCCCCCCATGAAAACCTGATGTTACACATCTTGATGACAGCCACATGTCCTGCCCAGCAGAGGAACAAGGGAGGCGCCAGATGGAGCACAGCCAATGACCAGTGGGGAGCAGCAGAGGGGAAATTCCTTCCCTACCCTCCATAACAATATCGCACAGACCATTGCTCAGCAAGTGCCAGACTCAAGCCTAGCCATGTGTGCGAGTGTACACACACACACAGACCCCACCCTTTGATGTGCAGGCAAACAGATGTCCCCCAGAGGCAAACACAGTCTGTGTCGGCTCCAAACCACCAGCCAACCCCACCCCTGGACAGGGTACAGAAAGCAGTAGTGTAGGAAAACCTGTCTGCTCATCTGCCTCCCTGTCAGTGTTAAAGGTGACCTGATAGGTGCATGTATTGGTGTATGTGAGTGTATGATGTGTAAATTATGAGTGTGACAAAAAGGCTATTAAGATTAAGGGGAGAGATATGACATAAAAGCAGCTGCTGGGTGACAGTGCTCATCAACACCTCCACCCCAAAACCCTCAGTGTCTAAAGTGCAGGTAAAATTGAGAGCCAGACAACTTTGAAGTGGTGATTGGGACCTCCTAAGCAGCCCCAGCCACCAACCTTTGGGTAGCACACCCAAAAGATTTCAAAAACATTATTTTTGCACAATTGTTTAAAATCAAATTATCATATGTGCCTTTCTTTTGATGTCATTTTCATTTGTTGCTTGGCTTGTGTCTTTTTGATATAGTTTTTATATTTTCTGTGGTCCATGAACACAAAGAAATTGAATTCATGTTTTTTTCAGATGGCAGAGAGCTGAAGCTTGATGAAAATACTGCAAGCAAAAGGCTTATCCTAGAAGGAGACAGAAAAGTAAGAACTGTAAAGAAGTTAGAGGAGAAACCTGCACGACCTGAAAATGAGGACAGGTTCATGAGGTGTCAGGTGCTTTGCGTCGAGGGACTGAAAGGTCTCTGCTACTGGGAAGTGGAATGGAGTGGGACAGTCGGCATTGCTGTGGCATACAAAAGAGTGGGTAGAAAATTGGATAGTAGTGGTGGCCTAGGATGCAATGAGATGTCCTGGGCTCTGTATTGCTCCAGGACTAAATGCACTGCCTTGCATGGGAAGACATCAACACAGCTGAAATTACCTTCTAGTCAAAAAATAGCAGTGCTCTTGGATTGGGAAGGTGGAATTCTGAGTTATTACAGTGTTTCATCAGAAAAGCTGAGCCTCATACACACCTTCCATGCAAAATTCACAGAGCCGCTCTTCCCAGCGTTCTGGTTTAAAACAGGCTCTGTGACCTTAAATCACTGTGGTTAAAACAGCTTTAATGTACTGCAGGGAATACTAACAATACTCTTTTATTAACATTTCAGTGCCGTAATGTGAAACATTACATTTTCTTTTTTTTAATGCAAGTTGTTACTTTACTTACTTCTGAATCCATATCAAAACTGTAAAAATGAAAAACTGTCATAAAGAAGCTTTCTGTATTCCAACCCTCTTATCAGACAACCACTCTAGTACTGCTATAAGTTACAGCATTTTTTTAAAGACTGCATATTGACTGTGCTTTCGTGAGATTTATTAGCAAAACGGAAACCTAACTAAACATACTTTAAATGGACTAATCAATAAAATTTGAATTAGCGAGATTATGTTGGAAAAATTAAACACATTTTGTGTATTTCAGTCATTTCTGTTTATTCATTCGTTTCATTTATTTTTATTTTTATACAAGTAAAATATTCTGATGAAAGATATACTGATAACAATGATGAATATTATTAACAATTTATTTGTTTTTGGGGTTTTTTGGCTTCATTTCACATTACTGATACATTTTTTTGTTTTGTTTTTTTAAGACCTTGTAACAGTTTCACTATTTTTTTAAATTTTCTACAATAAACATTTTTGGTGGCTGTAATGAATACTGCTTTTCATAATTAATATAAAGGACCTGAGACCCAGTAACATGAATATTGAGTTAAATCTTTATTAAACAAACCTGTCCACTGTTTAATTACATAAGAATTTGGGGGCAGTGTAATCACAGCACAAGCATACTCCCAACATGTTATGACTGTGTTGTAAATTATGATATGATTTTTTTTAATCTCTTATGTTTAAAAACATGTCAATAAATCACATGCAAATGTAGACCACCTGTTTAACCAAGGAAAGTTTATTCATCAAAATTATTTGTTACTCTCATTGACATAACACTATTTTTTACACCCCTCAAAAACCAAGCTGCTCTTCAAATTTTGGCCATTGGATGCCACCAAAGAGGACTGTGTTGAGAAGCCTCGAGTAATGATCCCCACTTCATTAGTTATCTGGTGCACTTAGTGGGTTGGTTATGCCCTTTTCCTTCTTGTTGCCTTATTTTTTTGTGGCTTGTGCTTAAAATATTTCTTGGGTCCATAGTGACATAACAGCATTATATTATTGCTGAAGATTTGTTGGACATTTCTATGAATTTTAGCTGATGATGCTGATGATTTTCCTTATTAAATTAAATGCATTGCAACATATAATTAAAGTTGCATAAGTGAAAAACAATTGTTCTTACACTGTACTTGAAAATTCTGTTAAGGTCTAGGTTGCCTTGGTGTCTTGATTCCTGTAGATCTTCCACTAGACCACTAGAGGGCAGCACAGACAGCTGAATAGAAATGAGTGCTCATGAAGCGTTTACCACTGTCTGCTTGCTCTAACGTCTCATTAACAAACAATTATACTATACTTTTCTTTATTGTTTCATACCTTTCTGACTCATTAAAGCCTCTTTTAGTTCCCAGGAATCTCTCGGGCAAAAAATTACTCCATCTTGGAGGCTGCCTGACTTTGAAGCAACTTATAACGACACTGGTGTTGCCCTGTGGTTGGCCTTGACACCAGCTCGGAGGCCAGAGGTCAAAAGTTTAGATTAAATATTGCTCTACTTCTGCTGTTTGGCAACTGCTACAGTCATTTCAGAGGCTTGTGTGCGTGACAGATTAAGGCATGTGGCTCATAAAATGGCAGTGAATTTATTTGTCTGTTTTTCTGAGTGGGTTTTAAAGTCAGAAAAGTGTTTCTCAACTATGTTCTACAGTATATTTATAAGTGAGTGGAGTAACTGTTGATGTGCTTGCATATCCATTGTTGGTTTGCATAATAAATATGGAAAAAAGAGTCACTGCAGTCAAATGAATCTATTTGTAACAGCTTAAATCACAATATGCACACACACACTTAACCTGTGAGCACAGACGTGGAGTTTTGTGGATACACACACATACAGAAAGCTACGCAAACACTCATTTATCATCTTGACTCTCAGTTGCAGGTCAGACTCTCATACACACAAGCTAGACTGATACTAATGCTCCTCCACTTAGACTGTTTTCACAAGACTGTAATGGCTGAGTCCATTAGTGTTAAATAGGGGGTTTGGCTATTTTTCACACCTTCCCCGAGCCAAACGTGGGCTCGACCTACTACAATAAGAAGAACTTTCAACACTGTCATCACTTTACCTGATGAAATACATCAAGGTTCACATGCTGTCTGTTCTTCTCTCTTGTCTTTATTGTATTTCTTAGTTATACTGGTAATTTTACACTTTCATGTGCAAAAGTCATGAACATACATAGTTACTACACGCAACCTAATTATAAACAACAACAGGTAAACACAGTGCAGTTCAAAGATAATTTTAAAATACTACTTTGTAAGAAAAATAGGTGGCAGTATTTCCTCCCACAGAGAAATGACATTTCCTTTCAACATCTGAAACATCTGAGTGTTCAATAAGAGTCTGTGGCAAACCTGTAACCCCCTCATGTGTCCCTTTAGATGGGACACATCTAGGTGAGAGTTTGCACAGTTTAGGGTTTTGGAATGAATGTAACTGTGAACAGATGAGCTTATTTGTCTTTTGTCCATGTTTAATTGAAGGACTTTCAGTCCTGCTGGAGTTATGTGGACAGAAGTGTTAGAAAAAAGAAAAACAACAACTTAGAAACAGGGTGAAAATAAAGGACGAGCATGGTGGAATATTAGCAGGCTCAGCTTTCTTTGTTTTGGTTCTTCCTTCTTTATCCTCCTCCATTTCCCTTTCTGTCCTCTGTAATAACTGCAGCTATGAGCTTCAGCTGTTGATGGTTATTGGAGATTAGATAAGAGACGGTGCTTGGCTGGCGATCTGTGTGTCTACTCTCAGTATTTGGCTTTAGCTGATAAGAAAAAGAAAGGAAATTGGCAGGAAGGATTGGGACTGCTTGGTATGTATATGTCTAAGAGTGGATAATGATAGCCTGTAGGAAATGCTGGACAAATTGCCTAATAACAAATAAGGAGAAGATTAGGATGAGAGACAGCTAGAAGCTGACTGACAATCACAGGAAAGGCAATGAGAGAGAAAAGGAGAGAAAACCACAGGAACATGTCAGCTGCTGAAAGTAAAGTGGTCAATCAAAGCTTATACAGAGTCAGAAAATTACATTTAATGTTTATCATTTGTTTTACATCTCAGGGCTACCCCAGATGCATCATTAATATAGTGTAAATGGTGCTGACTTGAAACATCACATTTTGGGTGTCTTTTCAGTTACTCCTGAAAGCTGAAAGCTCAGAAAGATTATGGAAAAGTGACCTTAACTAAACATCCTTTTATTTATTTATATGAATTAATATTATAACATTGGAGTTTTGGGATTGAATCAGTAAAATTATAAAAATACTCCAACTTCTTGAGCTTCACCTCAGTGGTAGTACATTATTGTTGAAGTAATGATTATGGCAAACTCTATTAAGTACTTTAATCTGCAAAGCAAATTAAGTAATTAATTATTTTAGTGTAGTGCTATGATGTGATAAAAATTGGAAATATTAAAAGAAATACTAAATTGAAAAAATATGTTATTGTGAATTGACCCTGGATTGATTGTAACATCCACTTCATATACATAATATACATATATATGGATATATAATTGTTCTGTCTGTCCACATATATTATATGGTGATATATATGTCAGCACTTATTGCCTGCTTCATGTTTATATTCAGTTCATCCATCAAACTGGACAACATCATAAAAAACAAAACAACAACAGCAGCTGCCGGAAATAAGATATGAAAATGATTAGGTGTGAAGTTCTCAACAACAAAATTAAAAACATTCAAGCAGCTCGTTATTCTTTTTCCAAAC